TCCAACCCTGTAACTCATTTTTCGACAGCTGCCCAAGGACAGCAATTGCCATGGTTATTGTTAACCTGGGAGATGATCGGCATGGGATTCTTTTTCTGTTATCTCATCATGATTCTGTGTTTATGGATCCTCTGAGTCTGACTCCTCAGTTGAGACCTGTCTGACTTGGTATACTTTCTGGTGGTATACCTCCAGCATAGCTCTCTATCTCAACAGAACACACAAGCCCCTTCCCCGCAACAAGGGGGTATCCATGTGGAGGGGTCTGTTAATATAAAAGTAATCATTCTTCCTCAGATTTATCATATACTGCAGAAAACTTCTGTAGGTTAGATGTGACATTGTGGGGAAGACTATGGAATAGCCTTAACTAGGATTTCTAGATTCCTTTATGTATGGGTAACACCATCTCCTCAACCAGCATCTCTCTGGGAATATCTAAAGCTTTTGTCCAGATGCTTCAAGCCACACATTTGGTATGCTCTATGTCCTGCTGAAGAGCTGCACTTGCCTGGAGGGGTCTTTTCTATCACAATTTCAGGTTTCCCAGTGCCTCCAGATTTGGCCTGCAAGGATCTGCACATATGAGATCTTTCACTCTGCAAAGAATGAAAGTTGTCTGTATTTTTTTGCTACTATTTAGTGGTTGCCCAAATGTTTGCAACCCAGACCTACTAGGCCCATCCATCCCGTTCACTTTGTGCTGAATCATTTCCACGATTGTTTTATAGCACAGACGGCTCAATAAGGGAAAGGTTGCATCTAGTTGTTCGTCTCTAAACACTCAACATGTGCATGAAAGAGAGTGAGTAGATTATCACTGTATGTTTACGAACATACATCTGTTGTTTTAGGTATTTTTGGAAGCATTAGAGATGATATTCATTTACCTCAAAAATATCAAAATACTATTTGGGTGTTTTAACTGTCAAAAGGAACATAAGAATTTTCTCATTTTTATCTAACACTTCTTAAAGTCTTCCTGAACTTAGCTACCACAAGCCTGATGCATTCTATTCTCGTTGCCTACTTGAATTTGAGAAATTCTAGCTGTGGGCTGTTGGAGCTCTTTTTCATTCCATTTGAGTTCAACAAATATACTTACTATGTTCTGTTGATAGTATACATCTGTAGCCAATGCTTTTTTTATAAAAAAAAAAAAAAAAGGTGCCGGAACTCTCACGTCATACAACCCGCCTTGCCTACCCTACAAGGTTCCATCCAAAAAGGGTGCCGGAACTCCGTTCTGAGCGTTCTATGATAAAAAAAGCCCTGTCTGTAGCATTCATATCCAATTTTCTGTTCTACATCTCAACTGAAATGCGCAAATTCTTAGACTGGGGAGAAACAATCTATGAGTTAAAACTGATTTATCATTGAATTCATTCATTCGTTTGTCACATCTGTATTACTGCCAAATCTTACAACTCATAAGGGTATATTTTTCCATTGTTGTAGCAATCATGTTTTATGACAGCAGCCATTTGAATTTTCCAGAATTCAAGTTGTCACAGGATTTGGATTTTAGGGGAAATAAAAGTTTATTCTCTCACCCTAAAATCAAAATTGAAATTAAAATGTTATATTCATAGGATGAAATGATTAAAAACTATATTTGGATTCAGTCCAAGCCCAGCACATTGCTCCAACAGAAGACAGTTGAACTAATTTCCTTGCAGGGCTAATTTTTAAGCTATCCTCTTTCCTCTTTCCAGAATTTCCTACCTGATTACAAGGAACACCTGGATCGAGAGGTGGCCAAATGAAGATGAGTGTCAGGATGAAGAATTCCAGAATTTGTGTGAAGAGTTTGCTCAGTTGTCTGACACACTGACTATTTTTGGCTGCCCTACTTAAAGTTTAGAAGAATCAATGATAGGAAGGAAATTCTCAGAAGACAGATTTTTGAGCCAATACATATATGTTACTTTTCCTCTTGATTTTTTAGTTTTCTATCATCTTGCTCTGCTATTTTTCTTGTTTATACATAAAATAATTGATTTATTATTTAGTGTCCTGTTGATTATTAATAAGTAATGATGTTTCAGATTACTATTTTTTTTCTTCTGATCCATCTAATAATTGAAATTTTCTGAGAAGATTATATAGTTTTAGTGATGGATGAATGAGTAGGTGGGTCAATATTAACTGGGACTGGTGAGGTTGGGGGACAGAATTAGGTGGCACAACTCAACAAAATGCAGAATAGAAATTTACTTCCTTGTAATTTTATCCCAGTAATTTGAATAGATAGCTCTCTGCATTTTGCTGAGTTTCTACCAAAGGCAAAACTCAAAGTGCTTTTTCATTTCCTGCAAATTGCAAAGGCATGCCCATATATAATTCTCCAATGCATATAGTTTTCTATCAATTACAAATTGCATAACAAGTTGATATATGGGTCACAAAAGAAACATTGAATATAATTTGCAGCTATCCCCACTTTAATGTTCTTCAAAGTTATATATAATGAGCAGTACTGTCACAATGATTAAAATGCAGCATTGCAGGCTAAATCTGCTGACTTCCAGCAGTTTGATTTTCACGGGTTCCAGGTTGTCTCAGCCTTCCAGCCTTCCAAGATCGGTAAAATGAGGACCCAGATTGTTGGGGGCAATATGCTGATTCTGTAAATGCTTAGAGAGGGCTGTAAAGCACTGTGAAGCAGTATATAAGTCTAAGTGCTATTGCTAATGTACAGTGCTTTTTTTGTAAAATAAATAAATAAATAAAGTGCTGGAACTCACACACGTCATACAACCCGCCTTGCCTACCCTACAAGGTTCCATCCAAAAAAGGTGCCAGAACTCTGACAAAAAAGCCCTACTAATATATTTAAAAAAATGAGAAATACTGATTTTAGAGCAAAAAACAAGTATTAATCAAGGAGGATCAGAGTACTGACTGTCTACAGGTACCCTCCTCTGAGAAGCTTTTTAAAAAGAATGTATTAATATATGTAGTGCCACCCCTGAAGGGACTGCTTAAAGTCTTGACCCTCCTGACCTCCTCTTCGCCTGGCTGCCGGCCCAAGGGGTCTCTCACGTTGGCCCCTCTGCTTGACAGGGCACGTAGCACAGTGATGTTCAGTCATGGTTGGCAGCCACGCGCATGGGGAGGTGATGGTCGATCTCTTTCAACAGTAACTCACGTGGACTGATGATAGTTGACCTCAGGCAGTAAGACTTATAGGAGATTATGGTAGTCAGGTCCTGGTAACAGCAGCTGGTGTACAACAATAGTAGTCAGTCCCTAGTAAAAGCAACCTGCTTAGGATGATGTTAGCCAGTCTCTGATAGTAGTAACTTGCCTATGACAATGGTAGCCAGTCTCCAGTGACAGCAACTTGCCTAAGCCAATAGTAGTCAGTCTCTGATAACAGCAACTTGCCTAGAGTGATGGTAGTCTCTGATGATAGCAACTTGCCTAAGACGATGGTAATCAGTCCCTCTCTGGAGCTCACAGGGGCCCTCCTTTATCCACTCTCCTCATCTCTCTCTGCCCTCATTATACTTAATCCCCTCCTCCCTTCCCTATCCCCTTTTTGCCTCCTCCAGTTGATCCTATAAAATCACCTCTACTTCCCATTAAAAGACATACCCTCAACCCAGTCAAACTCTTTCCTGGCTCTCTCTCTGCCCAGCTTGCTCCAACAAGTGAGAAGAAATAAAACTCCCCAACCTATCCTCTCTCCCTCTCTTCATCTGGCATGCCCGCAATGAAGGAAAAAAACAATAAAAACTTCAGCAAGCTACTCTCACTCTCTATTCTGCCTCTTCGTCCGGCTTGCATACAACAAAGCAGAAAACGCAAAGACTCCACCTTCTTATTCTATCTTTATCTCTTCACTCACTGGCTCTGGACGGCAGGCTCCAATAAGCTACTCTCTCCCTCTCTCTCTTAGCTCAGCTAGCTCTGGATGGCAGGCTCCATTAAGCTACTCCCTCTCTCTCTCTCTCTTTCTCAGCTGGGTCTGTTCGACATGCAGCCAAACGCCACCTTCCGGTCTCTTTCTCTTCGCTCAACTGGCTCTACTTGACGTGCAGCCAAATGCCACCTTCCAGTCTCTTTCTCTCTCTTCCTCAGCTGCCTCTACTCGATGTGCAGCCAAACGCCACCTTCTGGTCTCTTTCTCTTCACTCAGCTGGCTCTGCTCGACATGTAGCCAAACGCCACCTTCCGGTCTCTTTCTCTCTCCCCTCCCATTGGCTGCCTCCTCCCTTTTCTTCCCTCCTCAGAGCTACACCTCACCGCCAGACCCACAGCAGCTGTCGGAGCTCCTCATTTATCAGCAGGGCTCCGCAAAACCTCTCAGCCAGCCCCATTCTCACCCCAGCTCCACTACATATAAAATAAAATCAATTAAATAACCAAGAAACAAGGACAACCCACTATCCGCAACTATTCCCTCCTCTAATATTGTTTAAATAATTCCTAAAGGCAAAAAACAAGAATAATTTGTAAGCAAGTTTTTTTTCCCAATGGAAAAATGGAAAGACACTGAGGGGAAATATGATTCCCACCAAACAACTGAAAATTAAGAAAAATTGGTGGGCTCCAGGTTGGACAATTCTGTTTATTAATATACACTATTCCTTTTGGTTTTGTGGGTTCTGGGACAGATATATCACTTGATCTGTCTTTAACACAGAGAAGAGAACTGACCCAAATGCTTGACTGATTGATTTACTGGCTAAAACTCTTAACTGATTGAGTGTGATCAATAACTCCATATATTCCATTTAAAGTATACAGTTCTTCTTTGGGAACTCTTAAAATCTTCAGGAATCCATTCATCCAGACCAAAGTGGTTTTTTACCCAAAAAGCAATTAAAGGACAATGTGGGGACAGTTCTGAATGTCTTAGAGCAGGGGTTCCCAACCCCCAGTCCGTGGACTGGTACAGGCTGCGGCATGCCAGCAATCATTCCTCACAAGCAAAGCCCCATCTGCGAGATGCAGGCAGCACACAAAACCACACACTCTCTGGTCTGCAGAAAAACTTCTCTCCATAGAAGTGGTCCCTGGTGTCCAAAAGGTTGGGGACCTCTGTCTTAGAGTACCTACAGCAACACAGCAAGAAGCAAACTGTATTAGTTTTTTTAGATGAAGAAAAAGCTTTTAATTATCTCAGTTAGCTATTTCTGATTGTCTTGGAAGTTATGGATTTTGGTGAGAGCTTTGTACAGGTAATCCCTGAGTTACAAGCATTCACTTAACGCTCGTTCAAAGTTATGTGATCAGCACCTCCTAGTGCTTACGAGCAAGTCCCAAAATTATGACTATTGCAGCACCACGGCAGGCGTTCGCCCTTACGAGCGACCGCAGAGGTGCTGCAATATTCACCCTATTCCCCTCCCCGTTCCTCACAACTGCTTCCCCCTCCCATCCTGCTGCGCTGGAGTCACTTACCTTGCAAAATCTGTCTTCTCTCTGCCGTGGTTTCTTTCCTTTGAGGGAGAGAAGAAAAGCTTGCAAATGCTTTTCATGCTGACAATGGAAGGTCCTGGGTGTCGTAATACCATGCGAGTTCAAACACCCATTCTTTGCAAAAGAGATCTTGACACACGGAAGTTTCCATTCTCTGGGGGGGGGGAGAAGAATTTGCTTCATTTGTACGCCTATGGGGCAAAATGTGGAATTGGAGTCAGCTAGGCACAGGAACCAATACTGTCCGTGGTCCAGCTGAGCAGCTTGCAGCAACCACCTGAGCGGCCATGATCCCCCTCCCCAACCTAGTCCTTGCCTGGCCGGCCAGCTGGTACAAATCCTCACTGCTCTTCTCTTTCTCCTTGTCCTCCTGATTCAAGCGGTGGCAGGAGATTGGGTTTCTCAGCTCCCTCTGAGTGGAGGAAAGTAGAGGCGCAGCAGCAAGATTGTTCTCAAATAAATGGTGTAGGGTCTCCTGCTTGGACTAGATGACCTACAAGGTCCCTTCCAACTCTGTTATTCTACTCTAATTCTAAATTGTATTATGAATGACTAAAGGAACTATGTTTAGCCTAATGAAGAGAAGGCTTAAGGGTGACATGATAGCCATCTTCCAATACCTGAAGGGCAGTTACAGGAAAGAAGGGGTCAACCTAGTCTCCAAGCACCTGAGGGCAGGACAAGAAGAAATTGTTGGAAGCTTATCATACTGAGATCCAGCCTGGAACTAAGGAGAAATTTTCTGACATTGAGAATAATTAATCAATGAAATTGTGGGTGTTCCATTGCTGGAACTTTTCAAGAAAATATTGGACAACCTTTTGTTGGGATGATATAAGGACTCCTCGGTTGGGCAAGAGGTTGGACTAGAAGACTCCCAAGGTCCCTTACAGCTCTATGATTCTAGGACTCTAAAGCACTATGCCATTCTATATAGATTCTACTAGTAGAATCTTTCTTTAAATAATGCTTCACTATTCAAGTTTTAAATTTGTTCCTTTTAACACAGCAATAATATGTTTCTCCATGTATTTGCTATTTTTGAAGCCTGAATAAGCTTAGATTACAAAGCCTGTCTTTTTAGAATCACCTATTCAGTTCCTAATTCTGTAGATCTACCTTAAACTTCCAATATGATTTCAAATACTGCCCAATTCATAAATCAAAGCTTTTTTTCAGACTTCCCAATGCTGAGTAGCGAGTGATCTTTTTTCTCCTGCTGACAAACAGCTGATTATGCTGCCCAAATTAGCTATTTGGTGGGTTGCTTCCCAGATGAGAATGGGAGAAACTAGGAATGACCCAAGACAACCCTATGATGATTGTGAACGTTCTGAGAAGAGGGATCTTGAAGATCACAGTTCTCGGTAGGAGCAATCAGAGGGTTGGGTCTTTAACCAATTGTTCTTTCAGCTGTTTGTTTTTTAAGCACACTTTGATTTTAATTGTGCTTTTTAAACCTTTTCTTTACTTTTTGATTTACACTCTAATCAACTGGTTGAATGCTGACTTTTTCTATAGTCCTTTGCTGGACTTTAATGTACACTTTTTTTTCCCCAGCAACAACACACATTCATACCAGCTGTTTAATGGGCTTCATCCTGCTCTGGGTTCCCCAGGCCCATGTCTTCAGGGCCTTTCAAAAGAGTGTTAGAGTGGGGGCCAGTCTAATTTCTGGAGGGATGATGTTCCAGAGGGAAGGAGCCATCAAGGAGAAGGCCCTTCTTCTGGGTCCCACCAGATGTATTTCCTTGCCTCCCTACTTTAGTGGGTTGGGTAGATGTGACTGGCAGGAGACGGTCCCTCAGATAATCTGATCCCAAGCCATGAAGGGCTTTAAAGGTGACAACCAGCAACTTGAATTGCACCCAAAAGCAAATCGGCAACCAACGCTCCTCCTGCAGGAGTGGTGACACATGTGCATACCGAGGTTTGCACAAAACTATGCAGGCTACTGCATTTTGCACCAACTGGAGCTTCCAGGTGCTTTTCAGGGGCAGCCCCATGTAGAGGGTGTTGCAATAGTCAAGACAAGAGGTGACTAGGGCATGAGTGACCATGAGTAGGGAATGTTGGTCCAGGAAAGGGTATAACTGGTATACAACCCACAGTTGCACAAAGGTCCTCCTGCCCACAACTGCCACCTGCTCTTTGAGCAGGAGTTGCGAGCCCAGGAGAACCCCCAGATTATGCACAGGGTCTGTTTGAAGGAAGTGCTGACCCATCCATGACCAAAGTTGGCAATTCTCTATGGGCCAAAGAACACCAAACCCAGAGCCAGTTGGTCTTGCCAGGGTTCAGTTTCAACCCATTGCTCCCCATCCAGCCCCTGACAGCTTCCAGGCACTACGAAAGGGAGGTCATGGCATTGCTTAACTCACCACAGACTGAGTTATACAGTTGAGTATCTTCAGCATGGTGATGGATGATCTCACTCAGCGGCTTCATGTAGATGTTAAATAGGAGTGGAGACCCCCCAAAAAACAGTAGGTGAGGGCTGGATCTCTTGCCTCCTATTAACACCAACTGGGAGCAGCCACAGAAGAAGGAAGTGAACAGGATAGCACTGGGTCCCCCCACTCCCAATCCCTGAAGCAGTTCCAGAAGAATACCATGGTCAATGGTATTGACCTTGAGAGGTCAAGTAGAGCAAGGATGGATGCACTACCCCCATCCCATTCCCTCCAGAGATCATCAAAAAGTGCAACCAATGCCATTTCTGTCCCATATCCTGAATCCTGACTGGTAGGGGTCTAGATAATCTGTTTCATCCAGAAACCTTTGGAGCTGCTGCACAATCACCTTCTTAACAATCCTTCCCAAAAAGGGAAGATTAGAAACAGGTAAAAATTATCCAACAGGGTGGAATCCAGTGATGGCTTCTTGAGGGTGGACCACAGCCTCCTTACAGTGCTGGGGGACTACTCCTCCTGTAGGGAAGTATTAATCACAGCTAGAGTCCTGCCACCTGTCACCTCCTGGGAAACTTTCACAAGCCAGGAGGAACAAGGGTCTAAAACACAGATGCTTACGCACATACTCCCTAGGATCCTGTCCACTTTCTCAGGAGCAACTGGGTCAAACCATTCCCAGATAACAGGGCAAGAACCTGCCTCAGGAGCCTCCACAGGACCAGCAACCATGCTGACATCTAACTGGGAACAAAGTTGAGTGATTTTGTTTTCCAGAAAATCCACAAATTCCTCAGCGTGCCCCTTCAGTGGACCTCAGTCTCTTCCTTCCCCAGGAGGAGATGGCCTATCTTAAAGAGGGATGCTGGTCAATTATCTGCAGAGACATATTTACACTATGCCCATGAATTGCTATGAGATAGGCTTTAATAGCAGCTCCTACCCATGTTTGGTTGAGTTCATTCCTTCTCTTCTGCCAGAGGCACTCTAGACATCTCTTCATCTGTATAATCTCTCTCTGTTCCTCTGTATACCATAGAGGACAGAGAGATCTATGGGTGAAGAGAGGTTGTATAGGTGCAATCTCATCTAGAGCCTCAGTCACTTTCCTATTCCAAAGAGCAACTAAGAGCTCAGCTGGATTGCACAGCAGATCTGCAGTTATAACCCCCAGTTCCTTCTGAAACCCATCTGGGTCCAGTAGTCACTGGGGGCAGACCAAGCTATTAGGTCTGCCTCCCTGTAGTGGGGAGGGGGTACAGCTCTGAGAAACTAATACATCTGAAACACTAGAATGGGACATCCAAACAGAGCTGGCAAAACAACAACTATTCAATCTTTTCTTATTTCTTGGTGAACAGCAAAACGATAGTCAGTGACCATTACAAGTAACCTACCGAAATACCTGCTCCAGGGGATCCAAAACAAAGCCCAAAAATAACAATAAAAATTGGAACACAGAGAATCTACTATAGGAATACTCAACTGAATTAATGGCAAAACAATGCCTCATCACAGAGCAAACTGTTATCTTAATATCTGAGCAGCTTACAGCCATAAAACATAATTTGGAGACATTGAAAAGAGATATAGTTTAGATTAGAATATAGAATAATAGAGATGGGGGACTTTCAGTTTGTGAAATGGGTGCAGGAAGATGGGGCTCTGTCTTCTGTGTTCGATTTTGCCCCGCTGGGGACCCTAAAAAAGGTCAAAGTCACCCCAGAGAGGTGACAAAGAAGAAGGGGACCCTCAATTGCAAAGGGGCGGCAGCCCTTCATTTGATCCAAGGAAGCCCTCCAAACCAGCAGGGGAAAGATTGGCTACATTTGTGTAGCCAGTCAGAAGCTGCTGACAACCGAAGGAAATAAGCACTAACAAGCAACTTTTGAGCAATGTGGATGAAACTGGGTGAGACTCTATCTTCTCTTTATAATTTTAAGACTTCTTCCTGGAAAAAACTGCCCAAAGCAAAGAATCCTCCTCTATGAGAGAGGGAAAGGGAATTTCTGCCCTATTCCCTCAGGGAAAAAAAGTGGCAAACTAACTACTTGGGGGGAAATGGAGAAAATTGTAAGATTAATTTGGAATCAATATAGATATATAGCCTTGAAATCTGGAGACTAAAAGTGCTTTTGAGACTTTAAAAAAAAAGAGATTTGAAAAGCTTGCAATACAAGTTTGAAGCTGGAAGAAGGCGTTAATGATATCTAGTGGTGAACTTTGGCACTACAATTTATTATGCTTAAAGGAAATTTAGCCTGAAGTCCAGACTCAGATAAGACTTTGGTTTTCCTTGTAAACTTTCATTTTTAAGACTGCAGCTGGAGAAGGAAAAAAAAAACTCTTGGGCTGCTTATCTGCATGGCAGAGATGATAAACTATTTTGAAATTGGCCTGTTTAGATTATGAATATAAATACTAACGGACTTTTAGAGCTGTGTCATGGAACTATTCCCCTGTAGAAGAAACAAGCATCACTGATCGAGATGATGGAACACTTTGGATTATAAACTTTTGATTGATGAATATCTTTTAATTATTTCTTTTCTAACTGGACAGAAAGGACGTGTTTTTCATTGGACAGAAAAACCTGGACTCTGCTTATATTTGTTTAGGGGAGGCCTAATGATGGACTGACAGGCAGGCTGGATAATTTGGAGTTCAAATGACAATTGACTGAAATTATATGTGGACTATAAAGACCACATACAAAAACAAAATGGATGTTCCACACTTAGTCTTAAATGGTAAAAAAACCATCTCTAACATTTGTCTCC